TTGTATAAGATGCTAATATTTTCAGATAATTAGAATTTGATGAACATATTTTCCTATACATATTATGTAATATTATATAGATCATCTCAGTGGAAAATATTACATCTTAAAGCGTAATTAGTTATTGCTTTCACAGCCTCATATCTCTTTTGCCTGTAGGTCTATATTTATATATATTTAAAGGATTAATGGATTTTATTTATTATTGATATATTTTTATTACTTAAAATTACTAAACATATCGTATAAGTAATAAAAACTTATATATCTATATGAACATAAAATATTTCACTCTCTTTCATAAATATACACATATATCTGTGACTACATTCTAAAAACAACACAAAATAAATTTTTATTTATAAATTTTTGCACATATATTTAATAGAAACTGTATGTAAATATATATAATGTGTGCTCTGGAGAAGCAGAACAATATATACATATATATATATATTTATATATATATATATATATATATATATACATACATACATACATACATACATACAAATTATACAGTAAATTTATTTAAAATGTAAGCTAAACATTAGGATTATAAAATATTTAAAGTATGTACTGTTGATATATATAAATATTGACTTTGAAAAAATATGTATAGATAAATTTTATGTTGACTGAATACATAAAGTGTGACTATATATATATATATATATATATATATATATATAATTATTATATTATATTATATTATATATATATATAATTATTTTGTCTAAATTCAATCAGATCTAAAAAAGATAGAAACATTCTTAGATAGACAGGAACATATTGAGATAGATAAATATAGATATATAGATGGAGGGACACACTGTAGTCTTATTTTCTGTGTCCACATCCTCTGCCTGTCTCCATAAATACTCTGTTTGTGATAGTGAGCATTCTTCCACATGATATCATTGCAAGCCTTAATCTCTCTCTCTCTCTCTCTATATATATATATATATATATATATATATATGTGTGTGTGTGTTTTACTGGATATAAAATATGTATAATTTATTTACATGCATGTAATATATATATATATATATATATATATATATATATATATATATACAGGTACATTTTCAAATCTACCTTTCTGTATATATTCTGTATATACTTTATTTATATATATATAAATATATTTATATTTTATTTATATATAATATATTATATATATATATATATATATATATATATATAAATTCAGTAAATTTTTTACACACACACATATATATATATATATATATATATATATATATATATATATTTATTTGTAGGCTGATCTAAATAAGATTTAATTTGAATATATATATATTTCTGTGTAAGTAAAATTTGTACCCAATGTATTATATGTATCCTGACCAACACATTTTGTCCTTTCATCTTCTTATGGACTTTATCAAGGAAAATGCTATAAATATGATTTGACTTGATAAACTTTATCAGGGGATGAAACATGTTGGTAAAGAATAGTTTGCCTTTTTCTTTATTCATATATATATATATGTGTGTGTGTGTGTGTGTGTGTGTGTCTCTGAGTAAATTTGTACTGAATATATATACATGCATGTAAATAAATTCTATATACTTATGTAAAAATCTATATATATATATCATACTTTATATGTATTATATATATATATATATATATATATATATATATATATACTAGTTTGCCCAGAAATTTCATGGAGCAACAGCAACATTAGATTAGGTTAACTGGCAGAATGATCATCAAGAATGATGAACTTTATTTTGAAGAATAAATGTTGGTGTTTTCTTTCTACTTCCTAAGTGAGTCAGAACTGTCTGGTCAACCTTATATATATATATATATATATATATATATATATATATATATATATATTCAAATCAAACTTTATATCTAAAGAAGAATGAAAAATAAAAAAGCATTGTTAGAGTCACTGAAAAAGAATAGAATTAACTATGAAACTTTGAGAATCTTTTGCAACAAATACCAAAAATTTGTACTCAAGGCTAAAGGAGGATATTTTGACGAGAGTAATATTTAATGGTAAAATGTTTTTTTTCTTTTTGTCACAATAAAATTTCTGATAAAAAATCATGTCTCACTTTTTTTTAACCATGTCTAATAATTTCCTCTTATTTAAAGTACAAAATAACTACATTTTGGGCCAATTTAAAAAATTACCACAGGTGGCCTCAAACTTTTGAACTGTAAAATAGAAAATATATAATAGATATATAGAAAAATAAATATGTGCATTGAATATATATCCATACATATTTTCAAAATGGAAAATATGCTATATTTGAATAAATATGTGATATAAATAATACATAAGAAAATGAAAAGGATAAAAAAAATAGATGATTTATTTGCAAATAGATCCATAAAATGAAAAAAAAATTTGCTTCAAACCAGAATTAAATCAGTGAGTAAGACAGGTGAAAAATATTTCTTTTCATCTACTTAAGACATCAATGTACATGCAAATTGATTGACAAAGAAAAAAAGAAAATGAGAACTTAACATCGTTTCCCTTTTTTCTTATTTATTTAATAAGTAAATATCTTTAGAGAAGGAAACAACAACAACAACAACAACATAAAGAAGCTATGATCATCAATTCTTTAACATTTAAAATTTTTATTTCGAAGTTTTAAAAAACAAATCTTCAATTAAAGTTGGATGAAACCTAAGAATATTTTCAGAAACACCTTCAAGATAATTAAAATAAATAAATAGGAGGCTTGTAAAATAAAATATATATATATATATATATATATATATATATATATATATATATATTTTTATATATATATATATATATATATATATATATATATGTATGTGTGTGTAGAGATAAATACTGAGGAAAAACGCTTATTTTTTTTCAAGTTCTATATTTAAATTCAACTAAATCAGTATGTGTTCATAATCTTTTTATATATAAATATATACATTTACATATATTTTGAGAGAGAAATATATATATATATATATATATATATATATATATATATATATATAGAGAGAGAGAGAGAAATATGATATATATATATGAATTTACAAAGAGAAAAGATATATATATATATACATACAGAGAGAGAGCAATATTATATATATATATATATATATATATATATATATATATATAAAATATATGAATGTACAAAAATATATATTGAGAAAAAGACAAAAAATATAATATATACTGAAAAAATATTATATATATATATATATATATATATTTAAATATTTCTGAAATAGTAATATTATATATATATTTAAATATTCCTGAAATAGTAATATTATATATATATATGTATGTATGTATATATGTATGTATGTGTGTGTGTGTGTGTGTGTGCGTGTGTGTGTAGAAATAAATATTGAGTAAAAACGCTTATTTTTTTAAAGTTCTATATTTAAATTCAACTAAATCAGTATATGTTCGCATTCTTTTCATATATAAATATATACATTTACACATATTGAGAACGAGAGAAAGATATATATATATATAGAGAGAGAGAGAGTGCAATATTATATATATATATATATATATATATATATGAATGTACAAAATATATATATATATATTGAAAGAAAAAAAAAATAAAATATAATATATAAAAAGAAATAAATATATATATATATATATATATATATATATATATATATATATATATATATATAGTGAGCGATTGAGAAAGAGACATATATTGAGAGAGGAATATATGATAAAAATATAGTTTTATGGTATATTATGCTATATTTGTGGGTTAAAGTGTTCAATATCAGGGATAGAGCATATATAAAAATATAAACTTGGACATTGACGTCAACCTGTTTCATGCTTAAATTCACTCATCAGGCCTGACGATTGCATTTATGCATGAACCAGACTGTCGTCACTGGGTGTTGACTTCAATCTACTCTTATATATATATATTTTCTGAAAGATAGACAAATATATAATCGCACATACACACACACACACACACATATATATATATATATATATATATATAAGTTGGGTGTATACTTCTATAAATAAATATATATATGCTTAAAAATATAATTTTATATAGCAAAATCAAATAAGGATACATAAAAGAAGTAATAATGAACTGGAAAACGAAACAAAAAATTCTGTTTGTGATGGCCAAATCAAATCAATATTTTTTGTCAATTAACTTATCCCTTATTAGAGCAAAGGTACAATCGGATCACATCTTACATATATATATATATATATATATATATATATATATATATATACCGGGTATAACAGCAAAATTGTTCAATTGTTCAATTAAGCTTTGAACCATTGTATCTTAGAAATGATTAAAGATATCTTACTGGAATTCTCTGAGGTTTTTATAACACTATTGGACTCTCCTTTGAATAATAAGAATGTATCTAGCTCTAAGTTGAAACAAAGATCCCTCTTGCTGTTGTGACCCCCGATCCAGTTTTCCTCTCTACTGTTCCCTCTTTTTTAAACTTATTCACCATTCTCTTGATGGACTTTGAAGATGGAAGCCAGAATATGAATGTTGGTGTCATTGCTGAAGGCATGAATGATCTTTTTCCTCTCACCATTGCTCAGTTGGGAAGACATCATGGGGCAGCCACAAAATGATTTTAACCTTTTAACATTTCCAGCTGAATAACTCCAAAAATTCTTACTACAAATGGGATTAAGATGGTTAAATACCTCATCTGAAAACCTGGGAAAAAGACACTCATTTAGTTTAGTATTTTTTTAGATATTAAACATTTTGCAGGATGGCTAATTATCATATGCTGTTATACAATCTGGGCAATTTTGCTATTACACCTGGTATATACATATATATGTATATGCAGGTGGTGTAGTGGTTAGCAACTCAAAAAGAGAAAACAGCAATATGAGTTCAAATTTCAGTCAAGTTCATGACATTCACTTTTTCACACAAATTCCTTTGGGAAAGGTATTAATTTCTTCTAGGTATGGGTTTATGACCATATTATATTGAAAACACCAGTTCTCATACAATCACCAAAGTTAAGCAACATCAGTACCTAGATGGGTGACCACTTGGGAATACCAAGTGCTGCAAGCTTGGACTTGCAGGTAGTGTAATAGATAATGGTTCAGATTTGGAAATCAGAGATCCAAATTCTATTTCCTGTTGGGTTTATTACATTCACTTGTGTGCAAATATCCTTCGAAAAGATATTAATCCACATCTCGTCTTCTATGGGTTAATTAGTAGAACTTGCATCAGTAAATAATTATTATCTCCAAAAAATATTGTTATATGTTTATGGCACAATGTCAAGCCGAAAAAGATACTCAGGCTTAATGAAAAGTGGCAACCAGTCTAAGAGAAGGAAAACTCTGAATTTAAAATGATGGACGATACAATGGAAATCTCCTCTATTCTCTTTTCAAGAACGTATGGTAATTTCCAAATGTGGAGAGTCATGATCACCTATGTCCTGGAGGGACATGTTATTTTTAAAAAAAAAAAAAGGATTCTCATTTTGTCTTTAAGGGTCTAACTAAGAAGGGATTAAAAAAAATTCTGATACTTGGTCATTTGGCCAGATTTTGGGATATGGGTCAGGTCAGTACTTTCCATCAGCTGACATATATATATATATATATATATATATATATATATAGTATAGTATAATTAGCTCTCAAAAGAGGTTAAGCTGCTTTCCTAAAGCCATTGACCCTAGTAAGAGCCACTTGACCACCTCCTCATCCCCCACACATCCCAGGCCAATCCCCTCCTGACAACTGTCCAGCTTATCAAATCTCAGTTTGACCAGTAGCAAGTTTCTATACAGAAGCTTTAATTCACACAAAACCCTTGCCTCATGTGCATGACAAAAAAAAAAAAATCACTCCTTTTTTTACCCACTTTTCTTTTCTTTTTTAATTCACCATAGAATAGGGATTTTTTTTTCAAATAACGGCCTTTTGCTGTCACCTATCATCTTTGTACCCTTACTCTGTCTCTCACACTGCTCTTTTGAAGGCTTTGGTGGGCATCAGTAGTAAAGAGTCAAGGGGTTATGAGTAGGGAAGGGTTGTTGAGGGTAAGGATTCCACCCCTTCCTACCTAAGGGGTAAGTGATACTGATCAGGACAACCCACTTCCAGTACATCACTTAAGGGGCTAACTAACTTTGAGGGTGTTAAGAGATTTCACCTTTATACTCTGGGCCACCAAAGTTAGAAAATCTTTGGTCAATACTTGAAGAATAACATATTGAGGCAATATGGGAGAATAATACAATTTTTACTTTTTGAAAGCTTTAAGTCAAACACTATTAATATCACAGTATTTTTTTTTAAGAGCATAAAACATTTTTTTTTAATCATTTCACCCCATGCAAGGCAGTAAAGACATTGAGTTTCAGGGTGTTACTGAGTGTGAAAGAATAAGAATAAAAACATTATTAAGGAACAAGAACAACAGAAGAGTAATCAGCAAGACAGTAAATAACAATTGACATTGCATTTAAATTTTTGAAGATCAAAGTTGACAGGAAAGCAAGACACTGGAAGAGAGTTCCACAAGTGAGAAGTGTGAGAAAAGAAACTGTTAGCATAGAACTTACAGTTGCATCGAGTCAAGTTTTAATTGTTGAAAACTTGCTACCTATCTACTACTGCATTTAAATTCACAGAGTTTAATTACCATAGAGGAAAGTTCATCCGAACAAGTCAAGATGTCAAGACCAATAACATTGTGGCTTCTTCTTTGGATTTTATCTAGAGTCTCTGAATCTATATCAGGAGTATCAGACCATATGTGGCAGCAATATTCAAAGCATGGACAAGACTTATAAATATGTTACATAGATTCTGGAGAAAGAATTGTCTCGTATGACAACCAACTTTCCTAGAAGCAAACCTAGAAATGGATTCAATATAATCTTTCCACTTCATGTTAGCAGAGAATGTTAGTCTAAGAAGATACAATGAGTAACTCTGCTGGAGGTTAGCATCAGCCATGCTGATGGAAGGTAGAAAGGAGTCTCTCTGATGATAGATAGAAAGTCGTTTTGTTTTGGAAGCATTAAAATTAACAAGCCATTCCTTCCCTCATTTAACAACAGATTTTAGTTCATTTTTGACATCAGCTGCCAATTTGATCATATCAAACCGAGTAAATAGGTGTGTCATCAAAATAGATTCCTAGTGTTGGATCATTTTTCAAGAGTTACTAACCAAAGCCTATTGAATTAAATTGTGAGATGTGATTGCTTCTGGAGAGAGATCTTTGTTAATCAGGAGTGTAAATTTCCAGATTTCATTTATTTTAAGGATTATTATACTGAAGCGTATAAAAACAAATTTCATTTTTTACCCCAAAGATTATTTCATGTCCACATATCTAAAGAGACATGCAGGTGGGGCAATGGATAACAGCTTGAAATGAGAAACCAAGGAGCCAAGTTCAAATTCCAGTCAAGTTTGTTACACTCACTCATGCACAATACTTGAGAAAGATATAAATCCATCTCCTCTTCTCCCAACTATGAGTTGAATAGCAGGACAGACTGGACCCTATAGCCTTGGTTAGCAACTAGTTTACTGCAGAAAGAAACGGCAACCTGCTGCAGGAAATCTTCTGCCTAGTCAGTTATGAACTGAAAGAGACATGATTGCCCAAGTGTGTATCACGTATGGCACTTGACTGGCTTTAATAAGAGTTTATTCCAATAGTTCTGTCTTTTGAGAATCCTCCTTAGATAGTAAAGGAAAGGACTATTAAAAGAAGACAAAATATATGGTTGCTGGCAAAGGAGACAGCTCAAGGTATGGGTGATGTATTAAGGTTGTCAAAATTGAGCAGGTAGAAAAATTTTGTTATCTGGGTAATACAGTAAAAGAAAATGTAGTACAAATCCAGAGATAAATAGGAATAACAAAAGTTGCCTTTCAGGAAATGAGCAGTGTATTAAGAGATAAGAAAATGACCTTAGAAATGAAGAGGAGAATGTTGGACTGCTTTGTAATATATAATCTCCTATATGACAGTCAATGTTCTTACAGATAAAGAAAAGACTTGAAAGGACAGATATGTGGTTCTACTGATAAATGCTAAGAATATCATGGCCAGAACATACATGCAATTAGGAAGTCTTTAAAATAGAAACTACAAAGAAACTGATACTTATAATCAAAAAAGACTGAATTCCTGGACACATAATAAAGAAAGAGGAACTGGAGATTTTAACATGCATAGGATATTGAAGGCAAGAAAAGGGAAAAACAAGGAACCTACTTAATTAATTTGTGTGAATGAATGACAGAACAAGGACAAAGATGGTAAAAATTAATTAGAGATCATGGATCTTCACAACTTCCTGGGGAGTTGTAGAGAGCTATCATTTTTTTAGAAATGAAGAGGAGAATGTTGGACTGCTATGTAAAATAATATCAATTAGCTAAGTGACAAATTTTACATTTGTATTAATCTTATCTTATCTTACTTATTATAAAATGCAGATTGTGTGTGTGTGTGTGTGTGTGTCTGTACGTTTATATATTGGATCGGATTTCCTACATTTTTCAACTGATTTCAACAAAACTTCACAGGACAGCATAAAATTACCTTGCGGTGGTTCTGACAGCACCAAAAATTGGAAAAACACAATTGTTTTTGCACAAAATCAATTTTTAAACACAATTAAGTCACCAGAATGAAAGAGGGAGAACTCATATCGAGTTATACTTATTATAAAACCCAGGTTGTGTGTGTGTGTGTGTGTGTGTGTGTGTGTGTTCATTTATATATGGGATCGGATTTCCTACATTTTTCAACTGATTTTAACAAAACGTCACTTTTTTTTGGCAGGTAGTGTTTCTTATTGTCTTGCACACTTTTTTCTTTATTTTTACATTCAGAATGCTTTAAAAATTCCATTTAATCGCTAGAGTCGTAACGATTGAAAACAATGGTTTTGTTTGAGTTTGGGTTTGACCAATTCGTAAAAAAGAAAAAAAAATAAATAAATAAAATAATTAAGACATGCGTGTCTGTCAACCTTAAACAATATTCTTTGTCAATTTTATTTTTCAGTCTTTACGATGGTCGATACTTGATCTATCTCTTACTGTTACATCCCCGGGGAACGTATATATATATATATATATATTAATTTTACTCTGTTAAAAGAAATTGGAAAGAATGTATTTGGACATAATTTTGTTTACTGAAAAATAAGTTACTGTCCATATAAAATGAAATGATACATCTTACCTATGGAGGATTCTGTATATGACAAAATAATATTTGGATAATTGTTAAAAATTGATGGTTAATTTTGGTGAAACTGTTTAAAGGTATGATAAACTACTTATTATCTTTATGTATATGAAAGTATTATATATTATTTACAATGAATAATAGATACAGATCTTTTATTAAATGAAAATAATATACAATACTCTGAGATTGAGAAAATGAGAAATCAGAGAGCACTTGAGAAAGGTATGAATTTATCTCTTCTCCCCTGAATGGCAGGACAGACTGGACCCTATAGCGTTTTGCTAGCAACTAGTTTACTGTAGAAAGAAACGGCAACCTGCTGCAGGAAATCTTCTGCCTAGTCAGTCATGAATTGAAAGAGACATGATTGCCCAAGTGTGTACCACGTATGGCACTTGACTGATTGAATATATAAAGACTACATATAACTTTACTACTACAATAATACTAATAATACTACTAATAATATTAGAGTGTATCCAAAATATTTTATTGTTTTTTTTCAGACCTTTAATCCAAAACTCATTTTGTGTATACATCCCTGCCAGTCATGATGAATGAATGTCCCCTCGAGGAGGCCTCATGCCTTTAAGATATTGGACATCAAACTCGTGCCCGAGCTCAAGTGGAATTCCTATATACGATCCATTGCTAAAAATGCAGGTATAATGTTGTAGTATACCTATGGACAATAATGGGTATATCCCCATTCACATAAATACAGTAGTAAATACTGTATGTTGGTCTGCAGTTGGAGTTTCATTGTGGAATTTGCTTGACTACTTCTACATGCTGCTGGCAAATCTTATATGTGTTGTTCTTGTCG